TGAATTTTTATTGTTGATATATGTTTCACATATATTTTTCAAAAAAATAAACAAATAGAAAATTATACATCTACTAAAAATATTTTGCAAATAAGAATTTATATATCACTTGAAATTTTATCTATTTAAACAAGTATTTCATAATAAATTTTTATATTTATTCTATTCAATTTATTAATAACATAATAACAATAATACCTTGCATCCACAAACAAAAATATTTCACTTGCTATCTTACCAAATAAATATTCTAACAAAATAATTGATCCTTAAGGGAGGAGATTAGTTTCTTTATTTAACAACTTCAAGATTCCTAATAGTTTTTTAAGTCATGTCTCTTTTCAAATATGTTGAGATACTTGCAGTTATATGATTGAAAAAAAAAATCTGACCTTGTATATAGAAATAATAAAACTTTACTGTTATTTAAATATTAAGTTATTTCTTTCTGAATAGAGAAGTTAGGAAACTAATAGTTACTATTGTACTTTCTAGATTGATTGCAATAATGATATTGTGCTTTTTAGATTATCATTATTTGTATTATAATCCTTTTACCAGAAGTTTTAGCTAATTGCTTAGATATCAATACATATCTTTTTAAATAAAAATATTAAAAAACTAATAGTTACTATTTTATTCTTTAAACTGGTTGCATTAATGATATTGTGTTCTCTGTATCATTACTATTTGCACTATAATCCTTTTATCAGAAGTTCTGGTAAATTATTCAGATACTATTTTATGATGGCTGATATTTATCTATGGATTTAAATCTTCTCTTAAAAAAGATAAGTATATTTCTTTAAAAAAATATATAAACATTATGTACATTATTAATTATTTTATTTTTTATTTAAATTAAAATTAATAAATAATATTAAAAATTAATTTTTATATTTGAACCAATTATTATAAAGTTATTTGTAATTAGGAATATTCTTATTTTGAATCAATTATAATAGATAATTTATCTAGATATAAAAATATACTGTATATTAAATTATTATTAAGAATTTTTTTATTTTAAACTAATTGTGATGGATAATTTATTCAAATATAGAAATAAATAATTTATTAAAATCTTATAATAATGGGAAATATTTGAAACTGTTGTTATAAATATATAAGAGATTTGATTTTGATAGAAACAATTTTTTGAATTAAAGTTATAAAAATATTATTAAAAATTTTTACTATTAAAAGATCACTTATCAAATTAATTGTAAAAATAATAAATAATACTTATTTAAAAAATAAATTAATATATTTTTAAGTTTAGAAACTCTAGGATTTAGTTATTTATTAATATTCAAATTTGAATATTATTAAGATGTAGCTAAAATCTTCTATAGTTAGAGAAGTTATATCAATTACTATTTAAAATTGAGAAACTATAAATAAAGATTAAAGAATCAAGTCTACAAAATTTGATAATATGTGATTAATACTTCTTGAATTTGATCTAGAACCTTCTAAACCTAAAAGATATTATGTTAACAATTGGAACAATTGTATAAAGAATAAATTAATTGAAGATTATAAAGAATGAATTCAAAAATGGTAGATTGAGAAGAAAAGATGGTTTCAATATGATTGTAATTACAAAAGATAAATATCTTAATTATAGATTTTAATAATATTTTTTAAAATATATTTATTATTTTAATTTATAATTTATAAATATTTCTTATTGAATATAATATAAAATAATAATATCAAATAAATAATATAAACTAAACTAAATTATTAACTATTTGTCCATTGGGATTTTCAATTTATTTATTAACTATTCTCTTGAATTTGATTTGATAGCTTGTTATTTTTTATCTTTTATCTATAATTTTTACGATATCAATTATTTTCTCTATATATGAATTGCCATTTTTTTCATACTGTATTTATCAAAGCTCAATCCATTAATTCCAAATATATTATTTTTATATAATTTATAATTTCTTTGATTTATTCTACTACTTCTATTCCTTAAATTGTATTTATGACATCAAGATCATTGTGATTGATATGATCAACTATTTTCTATTCAGGATATAACAATTGATAAAATTTTTTACCACAAGAATTTTTTATATAATAATAATAAATATTATTATTATTATATATTTTTCAAGTAAATTTATAAAGAATTTATAATTTTTGATATCACATATCATATTTTATCTTAATGATCTATTTTTAGAATTGATAATTTAATTTTGAATCAATCAGGTTCAAAAAGTCTTACAGGTAATAGGAAAAAAACCCAATGTCTTTTTTATAGTATATAGGATTAAATAATCAATAAAAAATTTTAATAAATTTTTAATTAAAAAAAATAAAATTATTAATATTATACAAATCTCAAAGTTTTTGATTATTTTAAAAATTTTATTATTGTTTTTAACTATCAATAATATTTATGATAAACATTTTATCCAAGAATTTTTATTTTATTTTCATTAATATTTTAAAAAAAATTCAAAACATAAGAATTGATTTTTAAAAAATTGTACATAATTTTTTGAAAAAAAAATTTTTTTGTGCCATTAATTTTCAAATTCTCAACTTGAAAAAGCCATTAATTTACTATAGAAATTCATTGATTTATTACATGAATCAGGGATTGATTAAATGTTATGGAATTCAAAGTATACTTTATAGTTTTGATATTTACAAATTATTAAATATCTTTTTTAATAAATATCTTTTTTAATAAATATCTTTTTTAATAAATATCTTTTTTAATAATAATCTTTTTTAATAATAATCTTTTTTAACAATAATCTTTTTTAATAATAATCTTTTTTAACAATAATCTTTTTTAATAATAATCTTTTTTAATAAATATCTTTTTTAATAATAATCTTTTTAAATAATAATAAATAATTTTTAAGAGTGTGTAATTATAGAAATCCCAAAATAATTTTTTTTTTAATTACATCGTGATCAAGTTGACTAACTTTTTTAGATGGTTGATTTTCAAAGAGAAAATCTGTAACAATTTCACAAACAAATATACGTAAATAATTGGTGCGTGATTGTAATGGTCCTCATTGTGCGAAGGTGATCTACTGTATGTTAAAGATAAAAAAATCAAAATCAAAATATCATACTATATTTTCGAAAACTTTTTAATATAAAGAGTAACTCATTCATTTTTTCAAGCCAAGGAGCCAGGTTGCACATTTCTCTACCGAGAATTGTTGTTCCCAATGGTAATCGATCATTAATCATAGAAATGCTGTAATTAATTTATGAACGTAGATTTTTTACTTGAATAGCTTTACACTTGCTATAGCATGCAGGTTTATATAAGCGGGCGGCTGTGTTTGAAACAAGGCTAAAAATATAAAAAAAAAATTGCTATTAAAACATGATATGACCAATTATAAAAACAAGGAGACCAGTAACTGCACATTTTCTGAACTCAATTTTTTGAATAGGTCTTGGTGTCCTCATTTGCGTTTTAAGTGTCGGGCGTAATGGTTACATAAGAAAAAGTGTTGCTGCGGCGTGTGTTTCAATGATAGACGTTACGACATACTGTACAATAGAAAACCCCGAATGAATGATGATAGAAATACGCAACAATTCAAGAGAAGGAACGACTTCTATCCATTCTTCTGTCACGACAGCGTCGCGAAGGGACAATTTTTATATGTTCTTAGAATCAACGAGACAAATTTTCAACGCGCGTACTGTACAGTACACGGTCTAATAAATCAATTGTTGATATTGTTTTTTTATTTTTAAGACACATTATACAAAATGAGACAATGGTAGGACAACGAATAATGCCCCATACGGTGAAAGAATCTAGACTTATGATATCCAATTGATGAAACCAATATTATTTGAGACGGCACTTCATAGATAAGTCGAAATGGAAATTGTTCGTGTCCAATAATCTTTTTACTTGATATACATGGACACTCCGCAACAGTGTATTACCGACGTGCCATATACGTATTCTTTATTTGTTGCATTTTTTAATATCAATGAAGTTCAGGTATGACAAGAAATTATCCAACATCTACGTAATTACCACTTACCAAATTTTGCCAATAGTAGGATGTATGTAAATACAATTTCTTCCTGCTAGGCGCGATTGTTAAGGTCAGAAATTCAAGTACACACCTAAAATAATTCAAATAATAATAAATAGCATTTGTTTATTTTGATCGAGTTTTCTTTTCTTTTCTTTCTTTCTTTTTTTTTTTTAGAAAAATGAATTTAAAAAGAATGCATGCGTCTATTTAGTTTTATAAAAAGAGAAGGATGCAGAATGCACAACCATATCTAGTTTTCGCCTAAGCACTTGAAAAAAAAAAAAAGTATCATGCATAACGTGCAAATCCTTAAATCTTAGTATGCTATTCTAAAAAAAGTTATGCATGATATGCGTTTAGGCTGAAAAAAAGGTAAACAAATAACCAAAGACGCGCATTAAGCTGAGATTTTCTTTTTTGAAAAAAAAAAAAGAAAATAAAGAAACGAATAGAAAGAAGAATTACTTGTAATGCTAATTTTGAATGCAAGTATGAATTCTAACCAACCTCTCAACAAGAGAAAAAGGAAATCTCTGATCCAATGCATCAGAAAAAAATGTCTATAGTACATATATAATTCAAAATGATGAAAGTCGTGTCTAAATATGCCTATATGTATATATATATATATATATATATATATATATATATAAAGTAAAGGAAGATAATCAATATTCAAACTCTAATTATGAATGCGTGAACAACCAAAACAACCTAGTAGATGTAGATATGATTTATATACAATAATAAGGAAGAAATAAAAAAAGTTCAGTGATATTCGGATTCAATAGACCATCGAGGAGACAGTGATAAATTCCACAATTGTCCCTGCCATCGTTATACCATATGATTCACCCAACAACCATTTCTCGACATTCCCTCGGCAGCTCATGTTAACAATCATCACAAATAAAATTTCGTTTCGTCCGTTCCTTTCACAAAAGTAATAATTTAAACCAATAAGGGGGCACTCTCCTCTCGTCTTTCATAATAGAGTTTCGCGAGGTAGGTCTTCAGAAGGTGAATCGAACTGATGACCGCAAACACCAGCGCGACCCAGTGAATAATCGCGTTGTCGTCTTGTTGAAATGAGATACCATACAAGGTTATCGTTATCACGCCAGCGCCGATGAGGTCACCTTTAAATTTTTCGATATAGCCAACCGACGTCACCTCCAAGAAACATAGGGCCAACACTCCTAGCACTTGTTCGAGAATTCCAGGATCTCTACCATTTTCCTTATCAGGAATGAATGCCACAAATGTGCTTATCGTTAAGATTACCATGATCCATGCGTGATAAAGGTTAAATGGAAGATGGATGAATATCGCATCGAAACTATTCTGCGGTGGATAATTGACTTTTAGGTTATAATAAATGTAAGAAAGTTGAGAGGCGACGATCAAGATCGTGATCCATGCTAATACCAGTTCCTCGTTTACCTTTACGACAAGAAAGAAATCACAACGGTGGTTAGTGATCAAAATTGAAAATTGGAGGGAAGAAGATGACATCGTGATGGTAATTACCACAAGCACCAGCCATATGACATTGAATATTGCAACACCAATGAAGTGCCAACCGATTCCGTCTACAATTATTTCGTTGGCGGTGTCGATGAATTGGTAGATGACTGTTAAGAAGAAGAAAGAAACGTTCGCTCGTTTAATTCCGACTCGCTCATTGGAAAACGCGGACACAAAGAAATAGCACGACTACTTACGGAATATGCTTAACAACCAATGGATGACATTCCAAATATAGAAAACATGAGAATAAGGATGTATAATGGTGTTATGAGCCTCAAATCTGAATTCCTGTTAAGGTATTGAGAAAAATGATGATTACGTAAATAAAATTTTGTTCGTATTGGGAATCTTACAGGACGGTCTCGTCTATCTGACAGATTGTCAAGCCACGAAAACTTCGCCTTCCATAGTTTGGCAAAAGCTTCCTTTACGAAAGTCACCTGGCATACGTTTATAGAGGAGCCGCTCTTAAATAACCAGTCCAGTTGGACAACAAAACAACGGTGACTCTGTAAAATTACAAGCAGCAACGCTTGCTTCGTCCCTTAATTAATAAATGGTTTTCTACGTACCGGCTCGGAGACAAGAACCGCGAGAAAGAGGTAAACTATCAAATTCAATATTTTCATCAAATTCGGAAAACGTGCCATGATATATAATTAAATTTTGCGTGATTTCGTCAAAGAGGTTATGTGGGATGAGAGGATGTTTTTATATATATAGATATGTACACGGGCGGTAGTCGTGGAATATTAAAAAGATTTCGAGGTGAGGAAAAAAAAAAGGAAGGAAATCCTGACAATTTATATCTTTTCAATCTAGTTGGCCAAATTGCTCAAGTACCCAGATTATCACACCTAATCGAATACTTATTTTTGTCAGACAGTTTAATAAAACAATTGCTTCCTAATTCGTTTCCGACACTCGATAATAATAATTTTTATTTTTGAAAAAAAAGGACAGATAAACCGTGCGTACGTACGTACTCACGCACTTATTAAAAAAAAAAAAAAAAAATTTATGAAACGCTAAAAATAGAAAGCACAAGATCCTCAATTACCGCAACAAGGGATCACCGTACAGTAAGTACAATTGGTGTCCAGCATCCTGTTTTTGGTAGTTTTCTTTCCCAATGATCTTTCAATTTGCCCATTGTTGCACTTGACATTCTGACAAAATCATGAATGAAACCAATGAATTCGTTTCCGCCATCATGAAAATACGCACAGCCTATCACAAGCGCCATCTCAAGTGAGCCTCGGTACACACAGGTACTGATCTAATCTGTTCGTTTATTGTTTATTGACGATAAAAGGGAATTTGAAATGCATGTGACAAAATTCAATTTATCCAATTTACTTGAGTTGTCTGGCTGAGACTTCTGAGCATTTACGATTGTGAATCCTTGCTAATTCTAGAAGTGTTCTGAGAGAACGACGGGTGTTGTGTTTTATTGATAGGTGTGTCTCTTAAAACAAACAAAAAAAAAACACGAGGAATGTCATCTTCTTTTCCGGTGTCACATGTGTTAAAGGAGGTTGACAGTTTTTCTGGAGGAGGTCATTTAAGTATGTGGAATTCGAAATCAAAAAATATTCGATTGCACGAAATTTATTAAATAAAATAAGGGACCACCACCACTGATTAAATGTGCAGGGTCTTAATTTAGCATTCACTTAATCATGGGTTTGTACCCACGTGACATACACGATAATTGGTCTCACATGCATACGTATAATTAGCGCATGAGGTGACACGAACACGAATCGGAAGCAGTGTCAATGTGACGGCGGAGAAAATAATATGTAGTTTAATTTTTCATTATCCAGTGTCTCACCACGTATCCTCTATGTTTAACATACACTCATGTGCGCAAATATTTTTATTCAGTCTGAAGCGATATTCAAGAGAAATTTGCTTTGATTCGTCAAACCTTTTTTTTAACATTCATTCATACTCCAAAGTGATTTCACCATGATATCCTTTTGACGAACCTTCAACATGATCGTTCAAATGATTTCTCGCCAATGTCAGCGCCATGAAGTATCTGTAGGTCATGTGATCTCTGATGTAAGGTGGCAATTTTTTATCGAATGAGTGAATTGGGATTTCAATCTTGGCGTTTTCTTTCGGTCTGGAACTTCGGATTACAGGAATCGGATTCTCCCCGGATACATGAGAGGTCTTCATGAGTTTCGGTTTCTTCGCTCCATCTTGATAAAATCGGATGGCCTCACCGACATGAGTGTTGTCCAAAATATTATACCTTCCGACACCACCAGCATGATAAAAGCCGGGTGGACATCTGGTCATGACGTCCTTATCATCCACAACACGCCACAATGTATTCACGAGGTCACCTCGCTTGTTCAGTGACGAAACGTAGGTTGAGGCAATCTCGGAGTCGGCAACAGACGGACTTCCAAAGGTGTAGGCATCTCGAAGTACACAGTGCTCACCCAAATCAGTTGGCGATTTCAAACAACGTCCGTAAAACAATGTGGCCAAGGCTCCTCCCATCGAGTGTCCAGTGATCCAAACGTTGATGTGCGTCCTTTTCGGATTACTATTTCGGATTAAGCGAGCGGTATTTTGGATGGCTTCAATGATCGCGATATACGACGGACCCGGTTTCTCGGTTTCCGGACATAACAGGCTGCGGTAACCGGTGTACGATTTAAAACCGACAATGGGCCGACCATCAACGTGTTGGAACATCAAATCCTTCACGAATGAATCAAATTTGTCGGCAGTTTGACCCTTAAACGCGACCACGATAAAATTATGCCTCTCGGAAAAGAAAATCCCAGCGTATGATTCACCCAAGGTGTTAAGTTCCGACACCGACTTATACTTCATCGGCCATTTCTTGACCTGGGTCCTGATCGGCTCATCACTCTCTTGTAAGAATTCGACAGCTTCACGCAACAACCCATCTCTTTGTTCCGGATGATGCTTTATCATGTCAATCTTATGCTTGGCCTCCAAAACTTTATCCGAAGCACGGTTGTAGACCACGTCGGAAATGAACAAGAGGAATTGAGCGATGTCGAGGTTAAAATGGTGAACGGGTTTGACCGGCTCTTCACCATCTTCGACATCAGGGTGATATGGCTTTTCCAATGCACCAATACCTTCATCCACAATACTCCTGTTCTCTTCCGCGTGAAAGAATTCGGCGTCGACTATTGGAAGAAGAGGTGGACGTAGAGTGAATTGAACAATTAATAAAAAAAAAAAAAAGAGGATACAGATGTATTACATATACCACGTGTGCTTACACAAAATCTCTGGAGCAACATATTTCGTCCATCTCTTGTGAACGGCGGTTTTAATGAACTTGAGTTTAAGCGTGTCCACTATAAGGGACGCTACCTCTGCAACAAATAAGGCGTACAACACCACGGGATACACGAAAACTAGATACCACCAGTGCAAAGGATGCTTAAAGAATAAGGTCCAATCGGTCAGGAGAGTGAGGACAGCATCAATGGCGGTTCGAACGATGAATGACAAGTGTTGCAGATGACATTTTTCGTCCTCGATCATGTACAATTCACCATCAACGAGGTGACCTTTGGCGGAGATCGACCATAGGTCTTCGAGGTGAGGATATTCGCCAGCATAAGATTGCTTCGCGGCCCTCTGGAAGTCGTGATAAATGTCTTCTTGGGAAGCCATTCTTTAAGTGGAGGAAATGAATACAAAAAAAAAAAAAAATTTTTTTTCCTTAATTGAAGGAAGACTCGGTTGTTTTATTTTATATACTGAGGTAAAATTCGACAACGAAGAAAAGAAAAGAAAACAAAAAGGAGAGATATATATATATACTGTATATTGAACATCAACTTAAAAAATTAAAGTATTGATTTTCGGATGGTCAGGTATGAATAGATGAAGTACAGTATAATCCATGGGAATTGTGAATTGCGCGTGCTTAAATTGGATTCCGAAAGGGTGAAATTTGCTTATTCTTGAGTAATTCCTGCCTAAAAGGGTTTTACCCCTGTTGGTATTACGTTCATTCGTCTGGATGATGATTTTCATGTGTGAAGTGTGGGCCCGTTCTTATATGGTTAAAGAATTGACGGATAAATAGCTACGTGCTTTGTTACCTTGACTTCCAATAGGAATACGGGTTGAACCTAGATCGTCATTCTTAAAAAAAGATTACTCGTTTCTTTGATAAACAAAGTCAGGGCAACTGGTCAGGTCGACTTCGTTCGCATGTGTAAAAAAAGAAATTCCTCGGGAAAGCACCGATTAACTAATTTTGAACGTGATAATCAGGAATTCGATCTCGTATTGAGCGCGAAAATGCCGTGAGAATATCTCGTGACATCACATCCGTTTGACTAAAAAAGGTCGCATCTAGGCAATAACAGAAACGAATCATATTCTTAAGGTGATGTGATCTCATCAATAAAAAAATTACGTAATTGAAAGAGGTATGCACTAACTCGACGCAAATGGAAAATACCCGGAGACGAAAGGTTTTGATCATTTCTCTCTCATCTCTGTTACTTCCTAGAATGATCTGGATTTGGTGCGTTTTTTTGCGGGCCTTTTCACGTGAATTTGAATAAATATTGGTTGCACAAAAATATGTAAGATTGATTAAATGCTATTGTGTCACGTAAATACGTCGTTTCGTTCGTAAGCATGTGCGTAAAAAACGCGTAAAATTCCATCAAAGCGCATTCAAACTAGATCATATTTGATAAAAATTGGTTCGTTTGTGCAAAGGGGAAAATAACATTAGGCAACTTACTAGATTTCAATAACATCCGATTTTAGAATTTATAATAATGCATTATGCATATCCGTTGATAGTAATGCCACTACCTTACCAGTAGTAATCGCTGTCGAACGGAAAAGCGCAATTGAATGGAAAAGGCATGCACGCACAAGAATTCAATTCACCCATTGGAATTGGAATTAGGAATCTCTCCCAAAAGAATCCTTCCCTTTTTTTTCTTAAACAAAAAAAAAACCAACCGAATAACTATTTTCTACATATACTAGCTCCGAAATCATCTCGACAACGCATTAGTGGTCACCTATCTATAACAGACAAGAACGATCATCGTCCTTAAAGGCCGATCTGGACGTTCGATGTCAGACGGAATGCTATGTTGGTCACCAACTAGATGACCGACGATCAGATTTAAGTATGATCGAAAAGAAACGCATTCATGTAATTATTATAAAAAAAAAGGTAGAAAATTTACATTGTTGGAATTTCTAACTTATTGTTACCGAAAATGCCAAAAAGAAAATGAAATCGAATTATAAAAAATTAGTAGAAAGTAAATGAAATTAGATATAATCGATATCTAATAATATTATTATACGAATGCTTCTATCATTGTAGATCTGCATTATTCACAATAATTAAAAAATATTATTCATTATTTAATTGGTCTATGGTCGGACCAAATTATTAGACTACTGTCTCCATGCATTTGCTACGTGGTGTTGAAGTTTGATCACTATTTAATATATCCATTCTTTATTGTACTTAACTCTGAATATACTGTAACTTTAAGAATGATTTGTCGCCTTTTATTTAATCCAGGTGAAACCTCTTTTTAAATAAATATCTCATTGCTTATAGATTATTATTGCAACGTCTTTTCAGATTTGATTTATATTACTGCATAACTATTTTATCGAGATTCTTATTCAAATCTTCATAATTTTGGCTATCCTTTTTTCTTTCTCATTTTATTTATTTTTTTTTTTTCAATTTGTTGGTTATTAAAAAAAATTTTTTTCATACTTCTTAACTATATACTGTATTTTAAACTTATCTTTATTTTGGATTTCTTTGCCTTTTTCCTATTTCTATATTTCTTTATATCATATTCTCTTAACTCTTTATCAAAAAAATTTTTTTAATTTTTTCTGAAATCTTTTTATCAAGATTAAAAATCTTTCCTTATTTTATTTATTTTATTTTTATATTTGAATTAATCTCATAAAATAATTGGATTGTTGTCACAAATTTATATTAAAAAAAAAATCTTGAATTTTATATATTTTTATTATTGTTGATTTTTTAAATATTAAATCAAATTTATTTTTTTTAATACTTAAAAGCTTTAAAATTTTTAAAATAAAAGGTAAAACAATATACTGTCTAATAAAATAGATATACAGTAATATATATATTAGAATAATTAATAGCCATATGTATTATATATCAAAAAAAACAATAATATATAATAGAAGATCTGTGGGTCAATAACATAGTGGTAGTGCTTCCAGGTCGCAATCACAAGGTCCATAGTTTAATACCACTTAAGGACCAAAATCAAAAATTATTCTTCTGATCAGGTTTACCGGTTATTCTGTGAAAGTCATACCCAATCATCCGGAACAAGCTTCAATCAGATTAGGCTGCATGAAGATGGGACTTCTGGCCTTCTGTCGATCAGGGACTGAGATCCACAGTCATATTACCGGAAGGATTGCATGAAGAAAGGCTTCTGGTCTAACCTACCATAAACACCCCACAGACCCCCTGCCCTGGCAGTCTCCAGAACCCCCGCCTTTCTAGCTCAGAATATCCCAATATGGTGCTCCGCTTAAATAAAAAATCAGCCAAGCAACTAATCCGATGCCACAGGTGGTGACAAAGAAAGTAAAGTGCCTCCTTCCGAGGTCTAAACGAATAATATCTTTAGGAGTATTGGAGGGTAAAATTAAATCCTATCGGGTACATACTATACAGTCTAGTTTAATGAATATAATACAAAAAATTATAAAAAGCTCACTGTTAGACTAGCCTGTTTCGTCGTCGATAACTATATATTTGACTATCCGGCCTCTAGCTGGGTCTGTCCCACTCATAGAGTGGTTAGTGGGTCCACCTAAAAATAATCGCAATAGGTTATTTTTTTTTTTTTTTTTTAACCCTCTGTCAGGCTAGTTGCGTGCGCTTTATTAAACAAAAGTAAGCTATACATTTAT